ACACACACACAACACTGAAATTGCAAGATCGGTATTACCATAATAATAATTTTATTTTTGTATTATCATAATAATAATTTAATTTTCAGAATGTCATCTAAAAAAATTATAATTTAAAGATGAGGTTAAAATTACAATAAATTAACTTAAAGAATAGCTTTGCAAAACTTTCACAAATAATTAATTAATCAGAGTATGATAAGAATATGCGATGATTAAATGGGGCAAATGATGGTGGCTAAAATTTATTCATTCATCACTTTTCATTTAAGGTCAATTAATCTAATAGTCTTACGAATAGATGAGAGAAATTTCACGATTGATATTAATAATTAATCTTTTCATGTATATATTTGATAATGATTGTTATCATATAATTACTAATTGGAAATCAGCATTTCATGCTATAATTTGATTAAAACTATGAAAAGAAAAACAATTTGAGAGAGTTTAGTTGAACAGTAAAATGGGATTTATGCAATTATCATCTAGCGATGATTCAGAATATGAATCATATCAGCCGTACTGTTTATATTGAATCATTGCTGCTATTTATTTCTTTCAATTTTAATAGGAAAAAATTTGACAGTGATCTATTCTGATCACTGTCTTCATTTATCATTGAAATGTATGGACATAATTAAATATAATTTTTGTTTCTTTTATGCTAACTCATAATGACCAGTTAGCATACAGGAAACAAAAACTACCAACATTTAAGCTTATTTACTGAAATATGTTTAAATTTTGTACTATATAATTGCTTCTATCTTTCGGACATTTCACTCTTTATCGTTTGTTAAGTTTGAAAAATTGGTGATAGTTCAGATCAAACAGCAATATCCCTCATTGTTATGAGTTCAAAAGCAAATGTAACATTTTAGATTAGAAAAAAAAAAAACGTGAAGCAGCACTTTTAATTAAATGCTATAGGAAAGTGTTCAAAAGTGACAAAAAAAAATAGAAAAAAAATTCAATTGATTATCTCTTTTACAATCGATACGGATACTGATAATCATCTTCGATTGCTTTTTATCAACGGTAAGAAAAGAATGGTAACATTATTTTCCACAGACACACAAAAAAAAAAATGTGAGATATCTGAATGAATGAATGAATGAATGACACATTGGGTATTACACAACAAATGCCATCGATCGACTTACCGATCGTTGTTGAAAATGTCCGTTTATTTGGAGGGAGAATTCAAGAACAATTACTCAAATCATTCATTGAAATTTTATTGTAAAAAAAAATGAAAAGAAATTCATAAATATAATTAACATATCATTATTGAAAAAATAAAGAAAAAAAATTTAATAAACATAATCAAATTTTCATATAAATGATAAATTTATTTTTTCGAATATAATTATATTGCAATGTGTATGTATGTATGTACGTGTGTGTATATATGTGAACGTGTATATGCGTATGTGTACGTGTGTATATACATGTATGTGTACGAGCGCTGAAAAGGAAAATCTGTGCATGGAAGTGGAAAATGACACATAAACACACACACACACACACACACACACACAC